TTTGAGATGATTTACAGATCTGTAATTTTTTTCGAAATCTGACTTCTAGTTTTCAAGATATTTGCCTCGGAAGTTGCCATGGGGAAAAAGAGAACGTGTTTATCGTGAAAAAATAAAAAGTGGGTCATGTTTGAAAGGTTGTCCAAAAGTTTCAAACTAACAAAGAAACAAAGGTTCTCTACAAAAAATTTCTCTTGGTGTTAATTTGAAGACCTCAATAGGTAGGTATATTTTGAAAAAATCTAATTTTTTCTCAAATTCTAGAGGTCATCTGAAATAGGAACGTTTTGGCATGATACCTTTTTTTTAATATTCCTTTTATCTTTACAAGATTATTTTTCTCGGATCTTCTTGAATTTGATATTTGATATTTCAGTATTATTAATTTAATGAAATGGTTTACTCTACTGAACAAAGAATCGAACTCGTTCGTATTTATTACCGAAATAATAGCTGTGTAATAGCTGTGCTAGAGCTACTGCGCGAATTTTCAACGCAAATCATCCAGAATCAAAGGTTGGACATTGCTATGTTGGTAGGTTGATTAAAAAATTTGAAGAGACAGGATCTGCGAAGAACAAAAAACCCCAGGGTTTGCCCAGAGTAAAAGATGAAGCCACAGAAGTTGCCGTTTTAGGTCATGTTGAAGTGGACAGACATACTAGCATGGCACTCGTCAGGTGGCTGCTATCAGTCGGATATCCCATAGAACAGTTGGTCAAATTCTACATGCTCATAAATATCATCCTTATAAAATTCTTGCTTTTGCATGAATTGAATGAGGACGATAAAGATCGAAGGCTGCAGTTTTGCGAAATCATGACATTTGTTTTTCTGACGAATGCACTTTTACCTTGAACGGGTCAGTAAAAAGACATAATAGTCGTTACTGGAGTGACTGCAATCCACATTGGTACCTAGAGGCACATACACAACACCCCCAGAAACTAAATGTATGGGCAGGAGTTCTTGGAAATCGCATCATAGGTCCAATTTTCATACCTGGAAACCTAACTGAACAGATTTATATTGAATTTTTGGAGAACGAAATTGACAATTTAATAACCGAAGCAGTGGGAAACGATCCAGTGCACAATATCGGAAACTTGCATTTTCAACAAGATGGTGCCCCTCCGCACTATGCTGCGTTTGTGCGACAATTTTTGGATGATAGATATCCTGGGCAGTGGATTGGAAGAAGGGGACCAATCGAATGGCCTGCACGGTCTCCTGATCTAAACCCATTAGACTTCTATTTGTGGGGATACTTAAAAAGTAAAGTGTTTCTTACCAGACCAGAAGCCTTGCAAGAACTTCGTCGAAGATTTAATGAGGAGTTTAGGAGAATTACTCCAAAAATGTTGGCTAAGGCTAATGTAAGAAGAGCCTTTGAACAAGACTGTATTACTGTATGGAAGAAGATGGTGGTCATTTCGAACAATTGATAAGATAGGTATACCTAATCTAAATTTCCTGAATTTGTAAAACAATTTTGAATAAAATTATTCAATTTGGAGGTGAATATTTTTTTAATGTCATTTGTCTAACAATTTACGTTTTTTTGCCTCATGGCAAAGTCAAATTTTTAAAAAATTGCAGATGTGTAAAGGGATCTCAAATACCTCTCGAACAAGGTACCACTTGACCTAGTTTCCCTATTCAAGTTTTGAGGGTGAAACTCATCCCGTCAAGGGGATGCATCCTACGAAAATTTTGGAATAGCTAAAAAGTATTTCCCTTGCAAACAAAATTGATGTGTTTCAGGAATTTCAATTTTTTCTTGTAGAAATGTACGAAAAACAATTTCTCTCCGAGGCAAATATCTTGAAAACTAGTGGTCAGATTTCGAAAAAAATTACAGATCTGTGAAGTCATCTCAAATACCTCTCAAACAAGGTACCACTCGATGCAGTTTCCCTATTCAACTTTTGGGGGTGCAACTCACCCCGGTAAGGAGGTGCAATCTAGGAAAGTTTTGAAATAGCCAAAAAGTGTCCCCCTTGCAAACAAAATCGACGTGTTCCGGCGTTTTTTTAATTTCTTGATAATTTTCGAGAAAATCCAGGTGGATCCTTTTTAATTTTCCACCCTGTAAATTGTGTAAGATTAGAAGAGTTTTTGTAGTAGAGGCTCCTCTCATTCTTTCACGCATATTTTCTGGTGTAGTTGGGTGAATTCTGTAGACTAGATCTTTAACGTATCCCCATAGGAACTAATCGTCACGCTTATTTGGGTCACCCTGTATACTCAAAAGTATTTTCCTGAAATAGACTAGGTAAGTATCTTCTTCTTCTTCTTCTTCTTCTTCTTCTTCTTCTTTTTTCAGCAACCCTTCACAGTCCACTCCTGGACATAGGTCTCCCCTATATTCTTCCATGTTTCTTTGTCCTGTGCCAGTTGGTGCCATTGTTGCCCACTTTGTTTTTGATATCATCGAGCCAGCGTAACTGTAGTCTGCCAACGCTGCGTTTATGTATGCGAGGTCTCCATTGAATGATGCGTCTTGACCATCTCAAGTCATCCTGTCGAGCAACGTGTTCCACCCAGCTCCATTTCAGGTGGGCTATGCGTGATATGACGTCTTCAACCTTAGTTATTTGTCTAATACTCTCGTTTGTGATGTGGTCTCTAAGGCTTTCTCCCAACATCATCCGTTCTATGGCTCTTTGGGTGGTCCTGAGCTTGTTAGCTGATTTAACAGTGAATGTCATGGTTTCCATTCCGTATGTCATCACGGGCAATAAGCAGGCATTGAAGACCTTTCTTTTCAAATTTATTTGGATAGTTCGATTTCTCAATACGTGTGACAGTTTACCCGTGAGTGCCCATGTCAAACGAACGCGTCTGTTTACTTCGGCGGTTTGATTTTCTTTGCCTAATTTGATGCAATGTCCCAGATAAACATATTCTTCAACGTTGTCAAAGATTTGGTCACCTATATGCATTTGTATATTGTCAGGTGTCATGACTTTTGTTTTCTTTAAGTTCATTCTTGCTGATTCTCTTTGAAGTTTCTCCAACAGCTCTTGTTATTCCGTTATATTCCGGCTAAAGAGTACTATATCATCTGCAAAACGTAGGTGGCTCAGATGCTTGCCGTCGACCTTGATGCCGTATTCTTCTTCTTCCAGGTAGCATAGGTGAACGAAATTTCTAACCTCATTAGTTTAGAAACTATAGAACAACGCGCGCTCACTTGCTAATCCTGTATATTGTCCTGTAGCACAGAATATAGGAACCTGTAGTTGTCTTCGGGTTTCGGAAGATTTTGTAGTATAACATACCCCGGATTCGTTCAGTAAGATTGAACGATGAGAATTTTCATTACCTTTAAAGAACAAATCTTCTGAAAAATTAAATGGAAAACAAATAGGACCTACGTTGTGGAAACTTACTCAATTTTACTTACTGATGGACATGCGCCCGACATAGCAAATATTTGGGAAATTTAAGGGAAGTTGTGATAATAATATGTAAAAGAAACGAAAAATTTGTGAAGCGTCTACTTTATTAATAAAGTAAATCGTACCGTTCTCATCCTGAAGCTAACGAGGGGAAAGAGCACGGCAGAGAAACCCTGGTCTAACATGCCTCAAAAATCGAAATATACTGTCATTTTAATAATAATTGCGAGTCATTAATTCAATAAAAATTGAATTAGGTACCGCCCCTGTTCTTGTGCTAAAATTTCAATTACACACACTACATTTAATTAACACTACCTGTATTTATTACTGAAGAGTTTTTGGTTAGTTAGCCAGTTTCCCAGCAGATACTGACGTCCCATACGGGAATCTACTCAGCTATTGTTTTTTTTTGGAGCCAATATCTCTACATTGATTATTTCAATTTGCTAGGATATTCTCTCGTCAGGGTAGGAGAATGTTAGTAAATTCAACAAGGCCCTAATGCACGCTCTAAATCCAAAAATCAAAATCCCAGCACAAAAAGACAGCATATAATTTTTCTAGGTTTTAATTTACTCTTTATCTGTGTTGTTTACAGCATGAAACGATTTTTGTTAAATACATGAACAATGCACATGTTATAAAAGAAATGTTATAAACAAACAAAACAACATAAAAATGGAAAAAATGATACTTGTATAAATAATTGAACTCTCAAAAACAAAATAACAATTATTCAACTGACCTGCAATCGCTCCTTGACACACACACTAATAGCAAATTTGATTTAACAATCAATTTATTGCAAAATAAAAATAAAAATTGAATAATGAATAATTACAGACACGCGTCTAAAGGGACTAGCCTAGCTTGTTCTCTAGTCTAATGCCTAATCGCCTCTTCTCTACCTCCCGTTTGGCTTTTCTTGCTTCTGTGAACCCAATACCACTCTCTCTCTCTCTCTCTCTGTTCTCATTTCCAAAATTGGAGTTCCAGGTTGGAGATTTGCTTGGTTAGTAGTAGTTACATCCTGGATATTCTCTTCTAGTTTAACATTATTTTAACTGCTCTCTTCTAGAGACGAATATTTTAGTCAATAAATCGTGTTAAGATTTCAAATTGGCAGCATTTTCTTGTGCCCTAATATAATATTTATATGCAATACATCCTCTTGTAAATGAGGGCACGTACCTAAGTGCATTTGAAATGAAAGTTCTCTTCTAGTTATAACTGCATATAAAAGGAATTGAATAAATAATGATAATACCTATTCTCTATTGAAAATGTAGTGTCTACAAGTAAAGTTTGATAAAGCATAAACTTGACCCAATGTGATATGCCATGATATTTTTTTTAATATAAAAAAAATTAAGATTTTTTTTTTAAATTTCTTCTAGATATGGAAGTCCTCACCATAACCGTTCGCAATCAGTCAAAACTCCAGGCAGGTCTTCCGGCAGACCGAATTACCTTTGTCTGCCTCAACAACGGTCCCGTGTGGCCTCTATGCCAAACACCGGAGTCGAGGAGGAATATTACCGGCTCAGGCATTTTTCGATAACTGGAAAGGGGGTCGTGAACAGAGGAGACAGCCTAAAAAGCCGTAGATCCAGGTCGAATAACTCCGTCGCCTCGAGTAATTCCAGGTGAGTCCTTTATACGTTCAGGTTTGTTTCGAAATTCAGTGTTAAGTTTCTAAAGATAAATGGTAAAAATGTTAATAATAGGCTGAAAGTATGAACAGAGAATTTCAGGTTTTTGTACCCTTAACATGCTGCTCCTTTCACGTTTAGAGAATAGCTTCAAATTTTCTTTTCTTTAACAGCTACGTAATAAATGTTTATTAATATACTGATGGTAGAACGCAAATATCCTTACAAATCGGCAATAGAAACAAAACAAAATACTTATAGGATATTGAACCATTGCGGCAAATAGTCTTCTTGTTAGGGAAAAACTTTATAGGTAGTCCGTTCACATTCGTATTGAAGGGCTTTACATTATTTGAAATCACATAATATGGACACTGTAGCTATATTTTATATTCTGGCTTTTAGAGTGGAGGGTATTGCTGCAATTTATCACGGGTCAGTTTGAACATAAATTATTTATGGCCTCATAAGCGCTTTACTGAAGCTGCAGCATATTTTCGAAGCTGTTCCGGATAGCCGGTTTTGTAGGGTAGTTTGAAAATTATGCATCCGGGAAACCTTCTAGTTTTTTTTTTTTTTTTTTAACGAAAATTTGTAATTATCATGTTTTTTTTTATATGTAATTACTTTTTTCCAGCCAAATTGAAAACCTAAAATTTTCGCTTTTAAATTAGAAAAAGGAACTCGAAGAATGATTTTCATTATTTATCGAGTGCCACGAGTTTCTCCGAAAGGTCAAATTTTCAATTTGTCCTAAGCCAACAAAATTATCCTACAAAACACTTTTTTCCAATGAATTTGCATAACCATTATATCCGTTTTACGTTCGTTATTCTGTTCGGTTCAACTGCAGTTTTCCCCTCTCGAAAAACGAGTAGTCGTTTGTTTGGAAAAATAACAACTTTTTTTTTGGTGTGCTCAAGTTTTTAAAAAGCAATTACTTTCGGGAGGAAGTGGAAATTAAAATATTTATAAATCATGTAATTTAAAGCTTTTTTATTATAATCATTGAAAAAAAAATATTGCTTTTTTGGGATCAGATGACTTTGCAGACATGTGGAAGCTTTTACATAAAATAGTATCAACGCCCTTCCTCAATTTGAGCTCCAGATAGCCTCAAACTCTTGCAATGTTCATCAAAAACAAACTCAGCTTCTGGTCGAAACTTCTATATATTCAGAGAATCGAAGATTTGTCCAGGGTGAAGTACTTCCATCGTTAATAGAAAGAAAAGTCCTTTAGTCTTCACAATACAGGGTGTCCTAAAAAGATACCGACAAACTTTAAGGGGTCGCAGGGAATATTAAAACAAGCATTTTTGTTTATATAAACATATGTCCGCAAATGAGCCATTTGGGCTATAGAGCAAAAAAACTGTTTAATACTTTTATTCTTCGCAATAATTAAATCACTGTTTACTTATTAATTTTGCCTTATTATCAAATAATTTATGTTTTACAATAATTGTTCAAAATGTTGACCATTTACTTCAATGCAAAGATTGCACCGTCGGGTCATTGACTGAAAAGTTTAGTCTACAAAACACCTGTTCGTAATGAGGAAGATCTGTTAGCAAGGATACTGGCGAGTTGTACCCATGTAGAAGTTATTTCCGGAATATTCCAAAGAGTTCGCGAGTTATTGGTTGTAAACCATAATTTATTTGTTAATAAAGCAAAATTAATAAGTAAACAGTGATTTTATTATTGCGAAGAATAATACTAGGTACCAAACAGTTTTTTTTTGCTCTACAGCCCAAATGGCTCATTTGCGGACATATGTTTATATGAACAAAAATGCTTGTTTTGATGTCCCCTACTACCCCTTAAAGTTTGTCGGTATCTTTTTGGGACACCCTGTATATTTATTAGTCAATTGCACCCGACGGTTAATAAGATTCTGACCGGTTTATTATCTGGCACCATCAGTCAATCAGTTCAGCCTTTCTAGCCACCAAGATATGTAACAATAACCTTCTTAGGCTCAATCTCTTCACGAATTGGCAATATTCTCAAATCTTTTTATGACAGTAGAATAGTATATAGGTATGTGTATGTGCATCTCTTCAAGAGTGTCAAAGTCACGAATTTTGCTCATATTGAAAAACCATACAAATTCAAATAGGTATAGCGCCTCCTATGCAAGGAACACCAGCGCCCTCGGTATGGAACTGAGGTCGACAAAAAGGTACGAAAAACACTTGATTCGTACAGCCAAGCGACGGCGAAACACACACTCTCTCTCTTTTTTCGCCAAACACGAAACACGAACACACATTTTTTAATCCGTTTCGCGCACAAGAAAGTCGATGAATTCGCGAGCTCGTCGGTTACCGGTTTCGAAAAATAAAAGCCGGTAGTGTTGTGCAACCGAAACAAGACCCGGGATCCCGGTATTAACAGTTAACTTGAACTAGAAGAACCCCAGAACCACAGGTAAGGCGCCTTTTATCATATTGTCTTTTGTATGGTTATTTTTTGCTACATATTCATTAGTTGCGCTTACAGTCCGTAACACCGAAGGTGATTCTAAAACATCAACCATTACGCCAACAGTATGTGAATATTATTAGGTCCTTGTTCGCTACGCTAAAAGACCAAGTTAACAGGTTAGATAAGAGTGCTGTATATCTTTTGTCCTGTGTAGATTGCTCTGCAAAGTATGTAGGACAAAGAGGACAGAGATAAACAAACTTTTGGCACATAAAAAATTTCATCAATACAAGATGGATCCTGGTTATTCAGTGGCAATGCATGTAGCAAAAATTGAGAACCTGGCACAACAGATCAAGGATTGTGGTGATACGGTTAGTGGAACTGTCATAATCACTAAACTTTTGAACACGCTGCCATTTAATTAACGAAACGTTAGACAAGCTTGGTTGTCAATGGACGAAATGAAGCAGAATGTGAAGAACCTGACAGCCAGACTTCTAGAGGAGGAACAGAGTCTTACAGCAATCGAAGAAGAGCAAGATGCTCAAGCAGCCATTACCTTGAACAGAAAGAAAAGCACATCGTATGCAGAAAAAAACAAAGGAAAAAGTAAAAGGTTTCTATTAAGATGCTTTAACTGTCAAAAACGTGGACATATGATCAAAGACTGCAGGGCAATGCAGGGCTCCCAAACAGACAGGCGATAAGAAAAATGGTGAATACAGCAAGAAAAATGAGACAGCCTTGAGCATTGATTTACAAGAATTAAATCTAATATCGTGTGACGACCATTGGATATTAGACAGTGGTGCCTCTGCGCACATGAGTTACAGAAGGGACTATTTTTCTGAATTGGAGGACTTGAAGAGTCCTTCTTTTGTGTACCTAGGAAACAGTAAGAGCCTAGAAGTAAAAGGAAAGGGTACAGTAAAGATTCAGAAATTAATAGATGGAGAATGGTGTGACTCTTACATACTCAATATACTTTTCATTCTAGAACTGATGAAGAATCTTATTTTTGAAGTAGTCTTGACAAATAGGAAAATAACGATAATCAAAGAAGGTAATAGTGCAAGAATTTCTGAAGCAGAAGACCTAGTAGCTAGTGCCATTCAGCAAGAATCGAATAACCTGTATAAAGTTCCTATTTATACAGTGTGCAACCAAAGTAAAGTTAGTGTTGCCGAAGAGGTTAGCGACTTTGAAAAACTGGGATGAGAGGCTTGGGCATATCAACAAGCAGTATTTAAAAGACATGATCACTAAAAACATAGTGGAAGGTGTAAAAATGAGTGAATTCGACATTTTCCACTACGAAGCATACAAACTAGGTAAACAGCAGAGAAAAAGTTTCAAGAAATCAACACGAGCTCTCAAAAGTGCTCCTGGACAACTAGTGAATAGTGACTTATGTGGACCCATAACGACACCTTCGGTATCAGGTGCTCGTTATATGTTGCTTTTCAAGGACACACTATACCAAGTACAAAAGTGATACATATGAGTACTTTATTCAGTATAATAGTTTAATCAAAACAAAATTTGGACACTCATTGAATCCTTTGCACATCGATAATGGTCGTGAATTTATAAATAATCAACTGGAAGCTTACATTGAAGGCATTGAACTAGAAAATATTGCACCCTATACCCCAGAGCAGAACTTTCGATGTGATAGAGAAAACCGTACCATCATGAAGAGTGTCAGGTCAATGCTTATTTGTGCAAATCCAACTCACTATCTCTGGGCGGAAGCAGCAAGTACTGCAATATACATTCTAAATCGAACACCTTCTAAGCAGAGCTCCAGCACACCATATGAGCAATGGTCAGGTGAAAAACCATACTTAGGACATGCTAAAACATTTGGCTGTGTTGCATACGTATACACACCAGTTCAAAAGCGAACAAAACTAGAGCTGAAAAGTCATAGAATGATATTTGTTGGGTATGAAAAAAATTCCCAACAAATTATCGTTTGTATAATCCCATAAATAGAAAGATATCAGTATCATGCAATGTTTCATTTGACGAGAAAAACATGGGGTTTGTTAATCAATTTCAAAATGATGAAGAAGAGAATATTAGAATCTCACCTCCTCAACTCGGGCCACAGAATAATGGGAAACCAAAACATGAAAAGTAGAAGAAGAAGAAGAAGAACTGGAAGAACTCAACCTACTAAATTTGAGACCCCAAAGAAGTATCAAAATAACACAAAGATTGAGAGAATTAGAGATTTATTTAATAGAGCTAGAAGTTCCAAGTACTTATGAAGAAGCAGTAAGTTGTTATGACTCTGAAAAATGGAAGAAAGGTATACAGGAAGAAATAAATACTCTGAATGAAAACAAGACGTGGATTTCACAAGATTTGCCAGAAGACAGAAAGGCGATTGGATCAAAGTGGGGTTTTAAAGTGAAAAACGACAGTCAAGGTAAAATCGAAAGATACAAAGCTAGGTTATGTGCAAATAGTCTAAGAGCCAGCGCCAAAAAAATTCTCTGAATTTACTAAAGCTAGTTTTTGGACAGTTGATTACAGTATTTACGTACATAAACATACCGCGGTCAGTCAAGCGAAACTTGGGACAAGGACCCAGGGTGTC